TGAACACCAGCCTGGGAAACAGAGTGAGACTCTATCTCAAGAAAAAAAAAAAAAAATAGATGATCCTTAGTCTTAATAGTCTTAATTAGCCTTAATAGGATGATCCTTTAAGCTCACTCTCAAATCTGCAAATATGTCTAAGGTCTGATTATATCTGAGTAGAGCTGGTGGGAGCTACTATAACTGAGAGACAAGAGACTACTGGACTTTCAAACATACGAAACCTTATAGCTATACTTTGAGTCTCTGCTTTTATGATTACCAAAAAAAAATTGGTGACTAAAAATTGTTCTTCATGGTTCCTGAACATTTAGTGACCTTGTAATTAGCCCAAGGAGACCTAACAGGTAGATTGTAAAAGCTTCGAAAAATCCTAAGACCTATTTTTCTCTCAAATGTTAGAGTTTTAGTTCTTATCTGTACATGTAGTGAGAACAAAGTTAACAAGAATAATTAAAATCAATGGAGAATGCCAAAACTTCATTTTGTGTCCACTTCCCGCACACTTTCACCAAAAATGCTTACAAGGAACTAAATCAGTTGGTTTGATTTTTACTTCCTTTCTCTTCTTGAGGACATGTATGAACTGTGAAATGATTAGAAACTGGGAAACCAGAAGAAAAGGGGAGTAAATGCACAGGAACCGACGCAACTGGATCCGCCTCACTCTGAATATTCGAGTGTATTTCATGAGGCACTCAGACTATGCCTTTGAAGACTTGTGCCCTGAAATAACTTGTTGACACCCTAGGATATATGAGTCTAGAATGATTCGTACTGGTATATTAGCTATGCAGTTACTCATGAAAAGCTGTGAGCTGGGAGGAGAACTTCTTTTCCATTAAATAACTGACCAATATGTGTTGCCATTTCTGGTTGTAGATCATACTGCCAAACCGTCGTTGGCCTTTCCATTTGCAAGGCACCTGACTTTGTTGTCTCTTATGTGTGTTTCCACAAGCATTCAGATATATCCTGCTCTTGTATTATTGGAAAGAATCTTTGTGTTATCTATGGAAAACTTGGGAGTCACTCATTCTATGGGGCCCTCCCAACTGTCTTACTGAGACTAGTTTTTATGAAGGGCAAATACCTGTAGCTAAAAGTTAGAGCTCATGTGACTGAAGCTGCAAACTTGGGAGTCAAGTTTCCCATTGAGCTTGGCTTTTAACATGTAAAAGAATTCAGACGTGACGAATATCAAATACAGTTTCTGACTGATCAACCTGTTTTATTTAATGCATGCTTTCCTGTGTCTCTGGTGCCACCCACTCAAGAACTACTCCCTTCTCAAGTGGTATATCTTAGGCCATGCAAGCCAATGTTAACAGTATTGTAAACAGAAAAAAAATCTAATTTCCCTAAAATTACATTTCCCTAATCAACTACAAATACATTTGAGCATTTCTGCTAGTAGAGTAATACCATGATTTCATTATTGTCAGGCATAATCTCCTGTCTTGAGTTTTTTTCTTATTAAAAAAATAATTCTGGCCAGGTATGATAGCTCATATCTATAATCCCAGCACTTGTGGGGTGGCCAAATTGGGAGAATCACCTGAGCCTGGGAGTTTGAGGCTGCCGTGAGCCATGATCGAGCCACTGCACTCCACCCTGAGCAACAGAGTGGGACCCTGTCTCAAAATAATAATGATAATAATCCATGTTCATTTTAAAAAATTTTAGAAGACAACAGATTATTTATTTAATCAAGACTGATAATCACCGTCATCTTTTGTTATATAATATTTATATATAATATTGCCTTCCAATTTTTTTTTTTTGAGATGGAGTCTCACTCTGTCACGTAGGCTGGAATACAGTGGCACAATCTCAGCTCACTGCAACTTTTGCCTCCTGGGTTCACACAATTCTCCTGAGTAGCTAGGATTACAGGTGCACACCACCACACCCGACTAATTTTTTGTGTTTTTAGTAGAGACGGGGTTTCACTATGTTGGCCAGACTGGAACTCCTGATCTGCCTGCTTTGGCCCCCCAAAGTTCTGGGATTACAGGTGTGAGCCACTGCACCCAGCCCCAATCTTATTTACTTTTATTTGTATATGTATATATATATATATATATATATTTATCTATATACAGACACAAATATATCAACTTTATTTTTTAAAAAAACAGTTTTAGGTTCACAGCAGAATTGAGCAAAGGGTATGGAAATTTCCCATATACAACTTGCCCCAACACATGCATAGTCTCCCCCATTGTCAGCATCCTCCACCAGAGTGGTACATTTGTGACAGCTCGTTAGTCTACATTGACACATCATTATAAACTAAAGCCCATAGTTTACAATAGGGCTCACTCTTGGTGTTGTATATTATCTGGGTTTGGACAAATTTATGACATGTATTCAGTATAAGAGTATCACATAAGCCGGGCGCGGTGGCTCAAGCCTGTAATCCCAGCACTTTGGGAGGCCGAGGCGGGTGGATCACGAGGTCAAGAGATCGAGACCATCCTGGTCAACA